CACACACACACACACACACACACACACACACACACACACACACACACTGCAGATGTTACCTTGCTTCTCTTCTCTGCTAAGGTCAGAGGTCGTATTCTGTAAGAGGGAGCAATGTCCTTAAAGATTTCCATCAGAGAAACCATCACCAGCTTCCTGACAGAGACCGCCACGCTGGGGTCGACCTCCATCAGCATCCCCCGCAGCTCCTTCACACACTTCACCTGCCACCACAACATGACATCATCATCATCATCATCACCCTCAGAATCATCATCATCAGCGGCCTGCCCTTACGCTGTTGAAGGGGTCCGAGATTATGTTTGAGCCCAGAGTGGCGATGCGTCGCTTCTTCTCCGTTAACTTTATGACTCGGAGCTGCTCTCTCTCAGCCGGCGTCAGCTCAGCGAAGCTCGGCGCCGCCGCCTCTGCAGGGAGGAGTGAGGGTGGTTTTTCTCTTACAGCTTTAACTTTTTGTTTATGATAAATAACAGGATGGGATCTGTTGACGTCTTTTAAACAAAGTTTACCATATTCTTCCTGCTCTGTGTTCTCTGCAGCCTCTTCCTCCTCTTCCTCTTCCTCTTCTTGGATCTTTTTAACTAGAAAGAAAGAGAGCAGTGTGAGGTTTCCTCACCGATCACCACATGGCTCCATCACAGGATAGGGCTGGGAAAAAGAATCGGTTTAATCAATCTTGGATCGATTTCATTTAAACATTTAAATTAGGGAAAATTGATTCCTTATGGCATCTTGTGCGCACGTCTGAAACGTGTTTCTATAGTTTGTCACTCCTGGTTTGCAGTATATTTACATCCAGTTGACGTTCAGTGCTAACTGGATCAAAACAAAAGAAACTAAAGAATAACTAACGTTACAGCTGACTCTCCACAGAACTTAAAGATAACAGAGACCATGGAGACTTTTGTTTGCAAAGATTAGCGCTCCTACGTGGTAGAGAAAACGAAGCAGGGTTTGACGAGCGGTTCGTTCAGTCGCTCGAACCAAACTACTGTATGTAAACATCTGACTAAACTGTTCTTCACAGCATGTAGAAATGTGTGAAAGACCACATTCTAACAAAATCCTTTAGTTTTGTTACAAATTTTACTACTTTTAAACTTTAAAGAGATCCGTGATTAGTTGTAACATTAGACTTTTTTTTACGGACGGAGCCATTTTATTTACACACAAAGCATTCTGGGTAAATGATGACGTGGATAGGTCCTCGGTGCGAGGCTGCTAGCGAGCTATATCCACCCTGAAGGTTAATCTTGGACAATATCTGATGATCGACTCTTTTAAATGAAACCAGAGAGCGTTGACAGAGAGGAGAAGGTAGAAATGACTCAGCCTGGAACTGAAAATATGGATGGAGGACAACAGAGCTGCTTCATGGAAGAAGAACCTCAGCTTAGCCTGTTAGCTTTTGTGTTAGCGCCGACGCTATATTGCCTTATATGTATTAGCTCGGTACTTACGCAACAAGCTAAACTGAGGTCCTCCATCCATATTTTCAGTTCCAGGCTGAGTCATTTCTACCTTCTCCTCTCTGTCAACGCTCTCTGGTTTCATTTAAAAGAGTCGATCATCAGATATTGTCCAAGATTAACCTTCAGGGTGGATATAGCTCGCTAGCAGCCTCGCACCGATGACCTATCCACGTCATCATTTACCCAGAATGCTTTGTGTGTAAATAAAATGGCTCCGTCCGTGTTAAAATATATTTTTAAACTTGTACAAAACTGAACATCCTACAGTATGTTTACAGTCTTTATTTTACAGTTAAAATATATGTTTATTAAATAAAGTCTAATGTTACAACTAATCAATTTAAAAATACTTTATAAATCCCAGAGGGAAATTAGGTAAATCGTGGATCCCTTTAAAAAATGAATTCCTCCAACAACACTGTTTCCTGCAATTTCTTTTTTTAATTTAAAACATTTTAAACTTGTGACAGTTTTCCTTTAAGATCAAACTGTTTAATTTAGAAGTTAGAAAAGAAGTGATATTGTATTTTGCAACAGATTTTCATTATTTAAGAGCAGATCGAATCAAAATAGAATCAAATTGTGATTGATCGATTCAGAACCTTATGAATCAAATCGATCTAGAGAACTGTCCAGGACACCCAACCCCTGTCAGTACCGTGTCCTACCTGTCAGTACCGTGTCCTACCGGTCAGTACCGTGTCCTACCTGTCAGTACCATGTCCTACCTGTCAGTACCGTGTCCTACCGGTCAGTACCATGTCCTACCTCTCTCCACGCTCTGCGGGATCACGCCTCTTTTGTCTTTGATTGGCAGCAGGTGGATCACCTCCTTCTCCTCCGTCCTCGCCATCTTCCTGGGAACCTTCTCGTAGCTGCGAACCACATCGGAGCTGCGCTTCTTACCGCTGTGCACAGGTCCGCTGCGATGAGAACGACGGGTTACTGGATGTGCTCCTGTTACCACGACGGCAGGTGTTCACTGTGTGTTTCTGTTACCATGACGACAGGTCTCTGGTGATAAAGGAGGCTTGTTGAGCCATGGCGGTCATCCTCTGCAGGTCATCTTCCTCCATCATGTCGGTGGGCAGACTCTCGAGGAACTCTTCCTCCTCCTCCTCCTCCTCTGTCAGACAGGGGGAATCAGGTTTAAGGGTTTGTCCATCAACTGGACTTGGTCCTGGCTGGAACTTGCCTCACCTGGTCTCTTCCTGTACGTCTCCAGGGGGCGGGGCATCCTCTGGATGGCGCCCGCCACCGCCTGGCGCAGCTTCTTCTGCTCCTTGCGCTGCTTCTTGGCCACATTTTCCTGCTTCAGCTGACGGTTCTTCTGCTTGTTCTCCAGCTTCAGGCCGCTCGTCTTCAGCAGGCGGCGGAACGACGGCCGGCGCTTCTTCTTGGACCGAGACTGCAGAGAGGGAGGGAGGGCGGCGCCATCAGAGATGGACACAACAGGAGGTGGCGTCGCCAGCACGTGGTGTGCTGCTGAAGGTTTCAGACAACATGAAACAGCTTTTTTGTCCGACTTTAGTAAAACCTTTCAGAAAAATTCTTTTACCTTTTCTACATTAAAATAAAAAATTACAGAAAATATCAAAATTATTTCTCTTCTACACTGAGTACAGGCAGGTTTCTAATGAAAAGTGATGGAAACTCCATCTGTTCCAGAGTGAAGATCAAATATATTTAGAAAATATCCTGGGGCCAGATTGGTCCACAAGCCTTGAGTTTGACACATGAGGAGGATTGAAGTCCAGAACTATGTTTAAGGTTTGAGGAAATAAATTATGGGAGGTTTCAGTGCATTAAGAAAGTTTAAACATTGCTGTCAAAACAGAGTAATCAATTATGTTAATAATATCAGAGAAGTTGAGCTGAAAAGTGTAAATAATTATAAGCTTATTTTTTATTTGTTACCCAGTATTTTTGTGTTTAAGTTGATTTTTAACTTTGTGTTCCTCCTTAAACACCTGTAAATACAACTTTTTGAACTCTAACGTTAATTTGAACGTTTTGACTATGAAATTTGGGGTATTAGCATGTACGTGTATGCTAACACGCAGCTAACAAACCAGACTATAAAAATTATTATAATAGTAATAACTGGGGCCATTTTGCCTTGTCTTTATCAATAAGTTGTAACATTTAATTAAGAATATTCCGTCTGGCATTGGTTTCAAACTGTTTTGGAGTGAACTTGATCTGTGGTTATTAAACCAGACATTATTGACAGACCAGACTCCGTTCAGAAAAACACCAATTTAACGTATCCACTTACCGGAGCCATAATGGCAGCAGAAATTCTCCGCGAATTAAAGTTTTAATTACTCCTATGTGAGAAGAGAAGTCGCTGCGTTTTATTAAAGTATTATATGTTGATTACAGCCTCACGTGTGTTGTCCACACAGAAGTTCTGACAGAACGACAACCGGAAACCACGAACCAGAATCCGGCAGAGTCTCTGGGCAGAGATGACAACAGCGCCCCCTGCGGTGGGAGAACCGCAAAGACACGCGTCTTAAAACGTGTTTATTGACTAATTATCTCTAAAAAAAAAAAAAAAAAAAAAAAAAAAAAAAAAAAAAACAGTTGTAAAACATGTACTCGTTCCACAGTTGTTTTATTTGAAGCATTTTTAAAAACTTCATATAAAACTCGGTAATTATTTAATATATTTGTGCCTTTTTCTTGGTAAAATGTCATGAAACTAAAACATCAAGTTTAAACTGCATATTTTGTTAAAAATCGGTTGTATCTTTGTAATCTGCTGGTACTGATTGATGGTTCTGTGTAAAATATATTAAAATAAATAAAATCTTGTATGATCATGTGACAGAACATCTGGACTAAACTCTTTATGACAGCAGATGGACAGATTTGTTTCTTCAATTTTTATTTAAATTTCACCAAAACATGAAAAAAAATTGTGTAGAAAATAAATATAAATTCAGAAGAAGCCTAGAAATCATTATAAATGTAATTCAAAGCTTTGGCCAATCAAAGCGTTCAGACAGGATGATGTCACAGCTGAGGGCGGAGCAATTAAACTGAAGCTCATGGAAACTGTAGAGTTTATACTGGGAAGAGTCTTAGGATGAGTTCCCGCCCACTTTCATGAAAGTATGAGCTGTGACTGGTCAAAAAAGCTTCATTTCCTGTAAGCAAACTAGACACAAAGTATTTCCAGACTCTCTTTAAAAAGATTATAAGAAACATGTGGTCTAGTGGAGACTTAAATACGACCCTGAAGCTCCGCCTTCTTCTAACTGAGTGGTCCAGTCCGGTCCAGTCCAGTCCGGTTCAGGCGTAGCAGCACTTGTGCAGCTTCAGGTTGCGTTGGTCGGCGTATCTCTTCCCGCACTTGTCGCAAATGAACTGCTTCCCGCCGGCGTGGACATGTCTCCGGTGCGTCCGCAGGTGGCTGCCCTGGCTGAAGGTTTTCCCGCAGACCTCGCAGGCATAGGGCTTCTCTCCGGTGTGGATGCGGGTATGCAGCTTCAGGCTGTTGGCATTATTGAAGCCCTTCTCGCAGAAGCCGCAGTGGAACGGCCTGTCGGAGGAGTGCGTGCGGCCGTGCGAGATCAGGCTGCTCTGCTGGCTGAACGACTTGCCGCAGAGGCGGCAGCTGAAGGGCCGCTCGCCGGTGTGGATCCTGCGGTGGATCTTCAGGTTCACCGCCTGCCTGAAAGTCTTGCTGCAGAGGTCACAGGTGAACGGCCGCACACCGCTGTGGGTCCTCTGGTGGTTCCGCAGGTTGGCGGCGTGTCGGAACGATTTGGGGCACTGCTCGCACACGAAGGGTTTCTGGCCGGTGTGGATGAGTTCGTGCGTTTTGAGCGTGACGGAGCGTGCAAAGCCTTTGCCGCACACGTCGCAGGTGAAGGCCTTCTCTCCAGTGTGGGTGATGGCGTGGCGGTGCAGGTTCTGCAGCAGATTGAAGCGGCGGCCGCACACGTCGCAGGCGTACGGCTTCTGGCCCATGTGGACGACGGCGTGCGTCTTCAGCTGACTCTGCTTGGAGAAACGCTTGCCGCATTGTGAGCACTCGAAGGGGCGCTCGCCGGTGTGCGTGCGCAGGTGGCTCTGCAGACTCTGCCGCTGTCGAAAGGCACGCCCACACTCGCTGCAGGCGAATGGTTTCTCTCCGGTGTGGATGAGCTGGTGAGACTTCAGGTTGCTCTGAGACGAGAAGGACTTCCCACAAACTGAGCAGGAGGGGCTGGGCCGTGTGACCTCTGACTCCTCCAGGTCAGACGGTAGCGTCGCAGCTTCAACACGAGCTCCTGAAAGGAAACAGAGTTTTAGATCAAGTCGTCACTTCCTGTGTGTCTTAGTTATTGGTTTTTGATTAGGGGTGCTTGATAACTATCGGTCCGATATCATAACAAACAGAACCAATAATATATGTTCATGTTTGCCAGCGCAGTGGTGAGAATGTCTGTTTATTTTTATCCTTTTTGGTCAAGCCGCTTCCCAACCGGCACGACCCGAGCAACGTTCAAGTTGCATTGGAAAAAAAAAACTTTCGCACTAGAACAATAATTAGAATACTCCATGCTGAAAAACAACCAGTTATTTTAATAATTATTAATATTATTTTACCAATGAACCCTGTGTGTTACACACAAACTTTATAATTATAAACATAAAAAGGTCAGAACAACGACTCCCAATTGGAGAACATGTAATGTCCGTTACCTCCTGAATGCAGCACAAAGTCTGTCTGCTAAAATGCTAACAACAACAACAAGCTAGTGTTCAAGAACTCATAAGGACTTAAATCATTCCTGAGGCTTTTGACAAATCAAATAAAATTACCAGAGAGGACGCAGAACTCAAGAATTTAATGATGGAAATGATGGAGCTTGACAAGCAGCTGTTCACCCTCATTAAAGACTGAAGCTTTTATCTCCTTGTTAGACCCGGTTTACCAACGTTAGACACGGTTTACCATCGTTAGACACGGTTTACCATCGTTAGACAGAGTTTACCATCGTTGGACACGGTTTACCATCGTTGGACACGGTTTACCATCGTTAGACACGGTTTACCATCGTTAGACAGAGTTTACCATCGTTAGACAGAGTTTACCATCGTTAGACACGGTTTACCATCGTTAGACACGGTTTACCATCGTTAGACACGGTTTACCATCGTTGGACAGGGTTTACCATGCTGAGCTGTTGTTCTCTAATGCATTCACAATTTGATTGACAGTTTATCATTTCTGCACTATTATCTCAGAAGCACTGTTTCAGGCAGAAAAATATTTAAATCATATATAATTAATAATAAAACAAATGTACTTTGAATCTAACTTGTGTTAGTGAAATATCTGTTTTGAACTTGTGGAATGACTTTCTCTTTTCTTTAAATCTGAGATCAGAGTTAAAGGTCTTTTTTATAATTAATGTGCCTTATTTTTAAAAATTGGCCATTTGAGAAATTGTTTTGTTTGATATATTTTAAGAAATATTTGTTTGCTAAGTGTTTATTTCAAATAATATAATTTACAGAGTCATTTGGTTTTGGTCTTGTTTATTTATGTTAAGATTTTACCCATTTTTGACTAGTCTTATCTCCTGGCATTTTATCGGTTATTATCGGTTATCGGCCATTAGAAGGAGAAAGTTATCGGTTCTTAAAATAAGTTATCATGCATCCCTAGTTTTGATCGGGCGCTCACTCTCTGCGATGGCTCCAAGGTCGATGTTTCCTCGTTCGTCTTTAACGGTGACCGCCGGGACAAAAGGACTCTCTGCCGTCTCAGCCTCCTTCTCAACGACCTGCAGAGACGTAGCACCCAGAAGTCAGTGAGGTCAGTGAACGCATCGTACAGATGCAGGTGACCAACCTTACCTGGGTCGGTCGGTCTGCGTCGCAGCTCTGCTGCCTGACTCCGTACGAATGTTCACATTCTGCTGGGAACAGATCACAGTTAAAGGGACATCATCACAGATGACTGGCGTGTGACGGCGCTGTGGGTGTGGCCTGTCTTCGTACCAACATCAGCATTGTTCAGGATGTTGAGGATGCTGGTCTGCAGCCTCCTGCTGCTCCTCCCCACCTGCACCACAAGCCTCGCCCCATCAAGGATGTTCAGGATCTTCCCCAGAGCTTCGTTCCCCAGAGTCTCCAAGGTGGAGGCGAACAGCACCTGGCGGGTCACATGACCTGAGATTAGAGATGGGGACTTGGAGACTGGCAAAATGCAAAGTGTGTGGAGTCCAAATCCAAAATTGTGATGACTTGTGCAGCCTTTTTAATTTAAGGATTCTGGTTCGTCATCTTCACTAGTGATGTGACGTTCACGAACGATCCGAATCTTTTGAACGAACGATAGGAGCCGAGTCGCGGGCATTAACGAGCCATTTGTAGTTTTATTTATTTTATTCCTCAAATGATCTTTCTTTTTTCATCCTTAAATTGCTCCCGCTTTGCTTTTTCATGGAAAACGGGCAGAGCGGTGGAGAACAAAAGCTCACTGTGAAAGGGGGAGGGGAGTTTCTGCTTGACAAAACACAGTTCCACCCACATAACATGATGACGTCATCACATCGCCATAAGTGATGACATATTTCCCTACGCGATGACGTAACTCGTTCAAAATCGAACGGCTCTGAGAAACAAACGGCTCCCCAAGATCCGGATCCCTTCAAAGAGCCTTTTATCCCCTTACTAATCTTCACTGTAGGGCTGCCACAAACAATTATTTTTATAATTGATTAATCACTGATTATTTTTTCGATTAGTCGACTAATCGGATCATATGTTAATTGAATATAAAACATACAGCTTATCACGTCAGAATGCAGCTGCTATTATAACCATGGTTAGATTTTAGCTATATGCTAACTAAAAATAATTGCTGTGGAAGG